AACAGACAGAGAAACAGAGGGGATTATGGGATGCTACAATGCATGATCTGTTTGCCAAACACTTCAGAGACATGTTTTGTATATATCTGAAAACTATAATATATTGATGAAAAACAGAATAATAGGGACCTTTAAGTTGGGAAGTGCAATACTGCTGAAAAAGGGTTAGGTATCTGAAAACACTTGGCTATGCTTTGGGTAAGATTGGGGTTAGAGTAAAAAAAGGTTAAGCGTTAATTGCAGGTCTTACAACGGACTTCAGTCTCCGGCAAAAAAGTCAGACCTTAACTCCCTTAGTTTCCACATGTGATAAATCCTCACTACTTCCTGCATTGACACTGAAACACCTCCCTTCCCCTAACCTTTGGGTGAAAATCACGAAAAGCTAAATTGTTGAATATAAACCCAATTTTGATGGAAGCTAAGCTAGTATTAAGAGTATTTTCTTTAGCATTGACAACCCCACAACAGTGTGTCAGTTTAAGATTTATTTCAGGGGCTCTTGGTTGTTATGCACTCATGGTTTTGAGGGGAAGGGGGTGTAGAAGGATGAGTGATGCATCTGTCAGGCTGGTCTGGAGGACGGACCGAAGTCGAGGCAGATGTCTATGTTCTGTCTCATGTGTTTCTACCCGATCTGAACACAAGCACCAAGACGGTACCTAAAATTAGATAAAAAGTACGCATCTGCATTAAAAATAAATATATAAGGTGACACAGGGAAGGAGGGGAAAATGAATGTATGTAGGGAGGGAGGGAGGAATGAAAGGCATGTAGGGAGGGATGAAGGGATGTAGGAAGGGGAGTAAAGAGGAATTAAGGGATGGGATGGACGGAGGGATGAAGGGATATGGGATAAGGAGGGTGGTTTGTTAAATCAGAGACAAACGATGTCGGATGTGTGGGCATGGTTAAAGTCGGAGGTGATTGAGGCGTGTCCCTGCTCCCAAACCTCAGTTAACTTAATATATAGGCATATTAATGATAAATAAATGTATATAACTTATTGCAGTTTATGTAAAATAGAGCACCAATAATGGATGACCACCTGAACAATAAGCACCGTAACTTACATGAAATGGGACTGTTTCTGTGAACTGCTTAATGGTGCGTCACTTTAATGTAGCGGTTGTAGAAGGCATTATCTCTTTTCCTTTTGTTAAGGATTTTGTAAAGGATCCAGTGTATCCTTTTTAAAGGGGATAAGAAAAGAGGCATGCATTTACAGAATTGTAACAGCTCTTATCATGGCTGCCTCTTAGGTACTTTCAGGTCACTTATCTATGCAATGAACCATCCTAATCGACCACAAGCCCTTATTCAGAACATCACTATCACTATCAATCTGAAATGAACATTGTTAGGGCACTTAGTAACACAACGGATATTGTCTTTCTACCATGTGTTAGACGGGCCATATTATGCTCATTTTCAGGTTCATATTTGTATTTAGTGTCTCTACTGTGACATGTCTCCATGCTTTAATGTTCAAAAAGCTCTTTATTGTTCTCATACTGTCTGTGCTGCAGCACCTCTTTTCACCCTCTGTCTGAAACCAGAGTTGAAGTACTAGCCAATAAAAGTGTGAGTGTTGGTGATGTCATTATGTCAGGGAACTCAACAAAGGAGTCCAATGGAGGCGTTTCAGGAGTGTGTGGCAGAGAAACTCCCTCTGGTGGGCCCTTTGCGGACCATTTACATGCACAAAAACATATTACAGGTAAAGGGAAACCCAAAATAGCAGAAAAAGGCTCCTTTAATAAGGGCTTCTGTAAAGCAGAGTGCTTCTGATCTTCCTATGAAGAAGATAGGAATTTAAACGTATGAAAAATCCAATCACACATATGAAAAAAGGCTGATGATAGCCGATTGAGAAAGTGATCACTCTCCTATGGAACATACTTTGACCTCAGCGCCTTCTCCTCTGACAATATTTACCCTGAGCCGGCTACGCTAACCAGCCCTGCTGCGGTGAGAAGATGAAACATCTCCAATATTAATCTCTCTGCCTGAATTGCCTCACATCTCCATGTCAGGGCCCTGCAAGGTCACCACATGTGATGAGAATCAATGGCACCGCCTGTCCTTGGAGTATTTCTTATTTCGCTCTGGGGTACAGGGGGAGGGAAGCATTGGCCCTGGCCCTCGGCAAGATATTCCAGAGAGTGATCCTCTACAGTAACAGTATAGATCAAGAGGTATCAGGAGGTAGCAGGATGCAGGATCAAACCGTCCGTATCTATCCTGTGGACACTGCCATTCACTATTGATTACCCCTCGCCCTGTGGGAGTCATGTGACACAGAGACAGAGCATACATCACTGATATTAATTATGGTTTGACGCTTGGAAGAATGCTTCAATGGAGTACATCAGCTTTAAAATGCTGCACTGATGGGGGTGTGTGTGTGTGTGTGTGTGTGTGTGTGTGTGTGTGTGTGTGTGTGT